ACTTTCCTTAAAAATGCTGATGTCATCTCTCATTTTTTTCTTTTGTTTTTTACTTTTGGAAACACTTGAGAAGAAAACTCCTCTAAATTATGTTGTATGTGGTCACATTTTTCCCAGCTGGTCAGTGGTTGGTTAACCTGGAGGAGGGGATCGACCAGAAGGTAGCTGAGGAACTGAAAAGACGAGGACACCGTGTCAACTGGCCAGTGTCAGGTACACATAATTAACTGTTTGCTCACTATTAATAGTTCCATTCAATTTTTCTGTGTAATTTATGTCATACTTCTAAAAAACTGATCATTCTTTTGAAAACGCTACATCCCGATGAACAGAATCAACTTTTTGGGATCATTCTCTTGCTCATTAATGAAAGCGATTGAAGAAAAGCAGGAAAAACACCTTTGTAGTGCAAAATGTCGCCAAAACAGTTACTTTCGAAGGCCTTTGCTCTCAGCCGTAAGTCAAGGTAATACGTTTCAGTTCTTTAGTCACGACTTATGTCATTAAAAGTTAATGTGTGACATTAATTATTATATTGATGTGCAATACACTAACGGCAGTAAACAAATGAGACCATTTCTTAGAATAACCATGAGGTTCAAATCAGCGGCATTAGACCGCAGTTCTCATAAACCCTTTTGCTTCCTGTTGTTAACAGGATGTTTGTACTTGTTCCTCTTACGTGCTGCTTACGATGGCTCTCTGGTTTTTCTGAGTGTGAATATGATGCGTGCATCAACTTTTGCCTATCCAAGATTTTCCCACTGTGATAGTCGGATCATAGTGCGATCAGCTTCTTGTACAACTAGCAGCACAGAATATAAAATATGCTGAAGAGTTCACATTTCTGCATTTTGAAGTTCATTTTGTATCAAATTCCATGTTGTGGTTTAATGTTAATTTAAAACCATTAACAAAATTTATCATAAAAGACTCAGTTCAGGATAATTTTAATGAAACATTATTTGATAATAAAAGGTTTTAGCTAGAGGAATAAAAAGTCAAATAAAAACAATCCTCCCCACTGTCCTTGTGTTTGACTGTATTCTCTACAAAATGCTAACCAGTGAAGCCGGTTTTAACCTTTGAACTTTTTGTTTTAAGTTTTTGTGATTAATGATTTACAAATCTAAAATATCTAACTGTTCAAAACCTGTCAGTGAAGAAAAGAACAGTGAACGCATCTTCCTACTGCTCATCTTCATATCCTCTGGTTTACATGTTCTACCTATTTTCAGACTCTGACTAACACTCCAAAAACCTTGATTTCATGATGCTAGCATGCTAATTAGACTTAGAATGTATTTTCATTTGTTGTACCTACAGTCCATACAGCTCAGCGGGTTTTTGCATCTTCTTTTTCATTCACACACACAGGCCACAAGAGGTCTCAGTTTGGGCGGGGGCAGATCATCGCAGTGGGGGATTGGTGGAATCCGTCTGTCACCCAAGGGGATCGTCCTTCCAGGGTGCTTTGGGCAGGATCGGATCCCAGAGCAGATGGATGTGCTCAGGGGTACTAGAAAATGCTCTTGCCTTGTTAATGTTGTAATCAGAAGATTTCATCATAGAACTACTTGAAAAGAAATGCCTACAAATGTTGTGCAGTACACAGGTTGTTATTTGTCAGCTGATATTTGACAGTGAGCTTTATAACTCTTTCAAAAACCATTGTACCTTCAAGAAGTGCCTTGTGGAATCATGTTTTTATGCCTGTGTTCATTAGATGTTGAGTTAAAGCACATTTGCTGAATGTAGAGTTTAGTATAAATCAGCACAACCTCAGATTATTTATAATGTGAAAAGTGACAAACAGGAAGATCTTAATCTTTGCTGCATTGATGCCAAAGATGTCCTTCCTCAACTCTGTGTTTTGGCAGAGATAATTATCTGTTTCAGTCTCTTTAATTAGCTGGTGCTGATTTGAAGTTTGCTAGAAATGCAGTGTTGTTCCATACATAAACCTCCGTCCACAATAAGTTATCATTCCATTTTTACTCTGCTCTGAATTATGTACATCAGTAATATAGTGTCATCGTTAAAAATTCTATTTTGCATAATGTTGCTTTTCCTTTTTTTCTGTGAATCATTTTCTGTTATTGTTAACATCTCATCAATTAAAACATCAGTATTTCAGATTTTCTGTCAGTGAAATACGCTTCATCAGTTCGCATTAACTTAAATCTGCCAAATACATATAGGTGTGCATTTATTTTAAGTTGCTGTTTGAATCTTTGGTTCTAATTTTATAGTTGTTTCTGAATTGCTTGCAGCTTTAGCCCCTGATGTCAGAATCAAACAGCAGTACAAAACACATTTTATGAATTGTGCTTTTACACTGTTAGAGTAGAAGTACACCGATCAGGCATAACATTATGAGCACTGAGAGGTGACGTAAATAACACTGATTATCTCTTCATCATGGCATCTGTTAGTGAGTGGGACAT